ATGCTGGGAGGATCTCAGGAACCCCCATCTGCCACCCACCTGCCCCCACAACTTGGTACCTTTCATCCGGAGATGGAATTCACCCAGCTGTGCTTCCAGCTCGCTCTCCAGCACACACATGCTCTGGGAGGGAAAGGGTTGGGTGTGTGTCAAGAACCAGCCCACCTCAGACTAGCCCCGCTACTCCCTGTGCCTTTGTCTCATGGGCACCCACCCCTCACCTCCGTGTACTCTCGATGCCCTCGAGTGGCCTCGGCGAGGCTGTCCCGGGCCTCTCGGCTCCCTGGGGACCCAGTGGTATAAGCACGGACCATGTTGTAGGCACCATCCCGGAGACGCCGTTGGACACAGTATGCCTCATACAGCTCGTCAATCTGGGAAGGTGAGTGGGGTGGCGGTGGGGGGACTGAGACCCAGAGCCTAGCACCCCCACCCTGCATTTCCCCTTGACACTCCAGCCCCCCTCCCCCACCCTACAGGTGCACATGCATGCTCCACACGTACCTTGCTGGCATGGAACTCTAGCCGACGCAGGAAGCGTTCAATGGACTTGACTTGCTGGGGGAGAGGTGTGTCAGGAGAGGCCTGAGGTCCAGGGTCCTTTACCTTCCCCAGGAGCCAACCCCTCCCACCACCATTTTATCACACTCACCTTGTCTAAATCATACAGGAAGCCCTGCAGGGGGAGATGAGAAGGGGCACTTAGGAGGCATGGGGAGGACTCCAGCAAGGGTGCTTGCCCACCCAGACCCATCGTAGCTTCTGTCCCTCACAGCCTTCCTTTCCCTCACACAGCGGTCCACAACCACTCCAGTCAGCAGGGACTGACTCCCCTTCCTACACCCTGCCTGGCCCTTGGTGGGTGCTGGTGACACAGATCTGGTCCTCAAGATCCCTCCAGTACCCCCTCCCCACTTCTTCACTGGTCCCATCCAGTCCCTTTCCTGCAGCCCCTGGGAAGAGCTCTGTGCCTCCTCATGCATGGGCCCCCTCTGCCAGGAAACTCCTATTCATCCTTCAAGATCCAGTAGCAGTGTCTTCTGGGAAGTCCTGACCCCTTCCCTAGGAAGAACCACAGCTCTCTCCTCAGCACCACTACAACATAATCTTCTGCTGTCCCTGTCTGTGGTGTCTGACCCAGCCTGCTGAAAGCTCCTGCAGGCAGATGCTGGGTCCCAGGCAGGAAGTATGCACAGCAAAGAAGATGAGGATAGAACCTCCAGCCTTCCCTAATATCTCCTTTTCCAGTCACACCTGGACTGTCACCCCAGAAAACAACACTTATGTCACCCAGGTTGCTCCTGCAACAGCCCCCCACACCATAAAGGCAAAGGGCATCCGTCTAGGTCATCCCTGGCCCCCCTAGACCCCTCACCAGTCGGGAATTCCTCTTGGACTCCCTTATCTGCCCCTGGAGTTTTTCCTGCTCCTGCTGGTGAACTTCCAAGTAGGCCCTGGGGAAAGAAGCCACAAGAATTAGCTGACCTCTCCAGTCTCCCCCGCCCAGGGTATAGGCAGTGGGGAGAAAGGTTCCCACAAACAGAAGGAATTCTGGGAGAAGGGTTGGTAAAGGGAGTCGCTTACGTCAGGCCCCGCTTGAGGGCAGCGTACACCTGGTCCAGGCGTTCAGGCTGTGGCACTTTGGGGGCCGGATGTGCCACGGAAAACATCCTGGATACTCGGGAGAGTGCTGGGAGCTTCCGTGGGGGCCCCGGGGGGCTGAAGGCCGGGAAGCTCCTGGAGAACAGGCTGTCCTCAGAAAAGGGTGAGCAGCAGTTCCCCAAACCCTCACCACATACCCCATTTGACAGCACTGACCCCATTAAACCCCTCCGCCGCCTACCTGGGCCCCCGCTCGTGGCTGCCGAGGACACCTGCGAAGGACTGGCTCCTACTGACCCGGGCGCCGAGCAGGCGGCGCTGTGGCCGCACCGACAGGGACATCATGGAACGAGTCCGCGCGGGGCTCCCTGAGGGTGGCGAGGGGGGTGTCCAGTGCCAGTTGGAGCCCTGAAACCCTCTTCCCGCAGCCCAGCCCCAGGCCCAGTCCAGATCTTTCCCGGTCACCAGGTACTGCTGTCCAGCGGGCTCCGGCATCCGTACTCAGCCCTGTCAGCCAGGTTCTGACTCCAGGAGTCAGACTATCTCCCCAGCCCCAGCGCTAATGACACGGCGGCCGCGGGCGACTCGGCCTCAGCCTGAGTAGCCTTGGTTCAGCCCCCGCTTCCTGCTGAAGTGCCGGCTCCGCCTGCCGCGGGGCGGGAAGGGGGGTCGTGGGGGACCCTCCCCCGGCAGGGAAGGGGCAGGAAAGGGGCGGGGCGCACAAAGAATGCACGGAAGCGCCTGTTTACCCTGGGGCGGGGCGGGCTCCCCAGCCCTGCCCCCTGCCCCCCCCACGTCGATCTGGAGCTCCGGCACCCGCACCCCGGGAGGCCGCGGGAGGTCACCGGGCAGGGCGAGGTGCTCTGATCCCTGCCAAGCTGCCCGACAGGCCCTGCCGGGCCGGGTTTGGCTCCTGCGACCTGCCTGCCTCACGTAAGCTGCCTCCCCCCAGCTCCCTCCGGCTCCCAGGCTCCCAGGCTCCCGGACACTGGAGCCCTGCCGGCGCCTGGCATCCTGGGGATTCCCAGAGTGGGGTACAGTGCCGAGAAGTGCCCCGACGCCTCCACTTTCCTGCGGCTCCGAACTGGAAACTGAGTCACAGACCGGCGCCTTCGGGAAGGGATCCTCGCAGACTTCCACCTTGCTCTGGGGAAGCATGCACCTCTGGGCCCCAGCATCTAGCCCCGCAACCGCTGGGGCCAGCCTCAGCGCCTCCGCAGCCCCAGGCCGGGTCCTACCTTTCTTCTTGGCGTTCATGGTGGATCTGGGATAGCCCCTGCCCGGTGCTCACTCCCCGCGGCCCTGCCGGCCCAGGGCTGCGCGGTGGGGACCTTGGCTAGGCGCCGCGCTCGCTCCCCGTGGCTCTGGCCCGGGCTCCGGCTCCTCCCGGCGCCGCCCCCCGCCCAGTTCCTGCCGCCTGACTCAGCCCGCCGGGATGGGGCGGGACCGGCCGGGCCAGGGGGACACCGGGGCCTAGGCCTGCCCAGCCCACAAGAGGGGCGACTGGGGGTTCCCTTCGGGGACGGGACTGACAGGGGTTCTCTCAGGAGTAAAAGGGCGTAAAACGGGTTGAGTGAGGTGGTGAGTATGGGTCTCTACATAGGATGAGGGGATAAGTGGGGGCTGTATTGGAGGCAATAAGAATAGGGGGCTCCAAGAGTGGAGGATGAGGGGCACTGAGAAGAGGCTGAACCCACAGAGGGATAAGAGCTGGGGTTCTGAGTGGGGAGGGGCTGAGAACAGAAGGAAGGGCGAGGGGTGCTAAGTGGAAGGACTGCCTGTGGCCAGCAGAGAGTGAGGCACTGCCCATGAGGGGCCTGAGGTCTGAGAAGAGAGACTGGATCAACTCCATATAATGTGATGCTGCCCCAAGAAAGAAGCAGACAAGGAATTGGGGCAGAAAGAACCACAGCCCCATATACTACCCCTCACCCCTCACCACAGAGGACTCATTCAGGGGAGCCCCCCCCACCACCCCGCCCCACACACACACCAGGCCCCAGAGAAGAGATCAGAACCCACTGCCCATCCAGGACCTCCTATCTAGCAACAGCTGCATCCAAGGGCCAGGCCCAATCCTCCTGGCCCCCAGCCCACATAGGCCCCTCAGGCCCTGAATCCCTGGTGCTGGTCCTTTCCCACCCTCAATACCTCTTCCTTGAATATCCTCCATCCACCTCTGACCTGGATAGAGGCCACCATATCCAGGGTCCACTAGGCATTCCACCCCTTGACCTTAGAGGCACTGAATGCTCCCCTGCTCCATAAATCCTTCTGGTCCTTTGAGGCTCAACTTTGCCTTCCAGAAGGCTGAGGTGGGCCCAGGGGTCTGCATTTCCAACCCCTATACCACCCCATACCAATTCAGATGCAAGAAGTCCAAGAACCTCAGTTTGATTCTATCTTCCCTCACCTCCCTGAAGACTGGCCATGTGTACCCACGCTGGCGACCTCCGCATTCCCATACACTGCCCACCCAACACTGGCCTCTCTGTTCCTTCAGCCACTCCGCATGAGAACAGCAGTCTTACCACCTGCTTCTGGAATGCTCCTTTCCTAAAGCACAGCTACTTTGACAGAAACCTTTAGGCACCTCTCCATCACTCCCACCTCACCTGCCTTCTACCTGAGACCTCTGATCCCATGAGCCCTCAGCTCATTTACTCAACTATTCACTGAGTGACAACCCTGTGCCAGTTGCTGGAATACAGCCCTGAACTTTGCAGACACCATGCTGCATGGAGCTCACAGTCTGCCTCTACTTTCTTTCTCCCTGCCAGCCCCCTCCTACCTTCTCTACTTTTCCTGCACACCCTTGTACCAGCCTGGATCCACGGCTACCGCACCATCATTCGCCTACTGCTAATATCCTTAGTGCTCTGCACCTCGTTCCTACCTTGCAGAAACCAGCCCCGGGCAACCCAACTCCCTGCCTTCTTTGCACCTGCACACAGGCTGGCGGGAGCTGCCAGAGGTCTTGGCACAACAGCCCAGCTGCAACCATGGAGCGGTTCTCAACCTCAGCCAGACTCTTTTTCCCTGCCTAGTAAATCCCCCTGTGGCCCTACTCATCTCTCTCCCTTCTCACAGAAGATGGGTGTTTCAGACTTTCTCCACAAGGCTCAAACAAGCTCAGGTCACTCCCACATAAAAAATAAAAACAACCCTGGAAACTACCAAATGCCCATCAATACTGGAATGGATAACCAGTAACCAGTTACCATTGACTCAATTCTGACTCATGGCAACCTGATCTGTGTCACAGTAGAACTGTGCTGCAAAGGGTTTTCAATGACTGATTTTTCAGAAGATCACTAGGCCTTTCTTTCCAGGTGCCTCTGAGTGGACTTGAATTGTCAACTTTTTGATTAGCATCTGAGTGTGTTAACTGTTTGCACCACCCAGGGATGCCACTGGGATGCATAATAAAACATTATTCAGCGAAAAGAATGTACAATCTATAGTTACATACAGTGATATGGATGAATCTTACATAATGTTGAATGAAAGAAGCAAGACATAAGAGAGGACATAAGTTTGCTTCTCTTGTATGAAGTTAAAAAACAGGCAAAACTAATCTATGATGAATGACAAGTCAAGATAGTGGTTATCCTTGGGGATGGTGGCTGGAAGGGGGCATGAGGGGGGTTTCCAGAGTGCTGGTAATGTTCTATTTCCTGATCTGAGTTCTGGTTATATGAATGTGTTCCTCCTTGAAAGTTTATCGAGCTGTACACACTTAGGACAAGGAGAGCTGGTGGTGCAGTGGTTTAAGTGCTCGGCTGCTAACTGAAAGGTCAGCGGTTTGAACCCACCCAGTGGTGCCATGGGAGAAAAGACTTGGTGATCTGCTCCTGTAAAGATTACAGCCTGGGAGACCCTACGGGACAGTTCTACTCTGTCATATAGGATCACTGAGTCGGAATCGATTTGATGGCACAAAACAACAACAATACTTACACTTTTCTGTATACTTCAATATAAAGTTGACTTTTAAAAAATAACTACAAAACTGAAAGACCCCTCTGATGATCCCATGTCTCTCTCTAGCTACCACCCCAGCTTCCTCTTCCCTTTTCAGAATCAAGTTTCTTGAAGAGATGTCAGCCTTCATTTCCTCACCACACCTACCCACTCTTCCTATCCTGGTCTGCCTTCTGAATCCACCACTCCGCTAACTGGTCTGGACAAGGTAACCGGTGACTTCCCTGTTGCTGAATCCAGTCCTTATCCTGCTTGATCTCAGTAAAGCTTATGACTTTGTGGCTCCCTTCCTCTTCCCTGATCCCTCCCTTCCCTTGAATTTCCAGATGCAACACGCTCCTGGCTTCCCACCTACCTGTTTGGCTGCCTATCTCATTTTCCCAAAGAGGACCTGTCCCTCTCCTCATCCTCCCTGCCCTTGAAGCTCAATGCCATCTAATCTCCTTATAGTTACCATGTTCTTCTGAGCCCCAGGCCTGTATATCCAACTGCCTGCCTGATGCCTTCCCAGAAGGTAAGTGACAATACAGAATGGGCTGTTAGGGGATGTGCTGAGTAGGCGGTTGCCAAATTGAACTCACCACATTCCTCCCAAACCTGACTTTTCCTAGTCTTAACCTCTCCATGATGACCCCACCATCTCTTTACTTGGTTGTTCAAGACAGAAACTGGGAGCAATCCTGGATGCCTTAGTCTGTTACGCCTATATCCCCTCAGTCACTGACTCCTGCCAGTTCTACCTCTTAAACATCTCTGGAATCTGCCCCCTCATCTCCACCCCCACAGCTAGAATTCAGGTCTAAGCCATCACCAACTGTCATCTAGAACCTTACAGTAGCCTCCTTACAGCTCCCAGTCACCACTGTAACTCGAAGTGATCCATTCTCCATTTGGTAACAACACTGCTTTTTTTTAAAACTCCAATCAGTTTGCAATGCTGATAACAGACATTTATTGAGTGCTTTCTATATGCCAGGTACTGTCCTTAATAAACATCATCTCATTTAATTCTGGTAACATCTCTATGGAGTAAGTCTTATTAGCCCTACTTCACAGATACGAAATCTGAGGCTAAGCGTATGCTGGCTGTGTGTCCTTGGGCAAGGCATTTCTTAATCATTTTGGGCTTCAGATAACCATTTGTAAAATGAGGATAATATAAATAATAATAACTACCTCACAGGGCTGTCAGGAAGATGAAATAACTCCCTCTGTAAGTGCTAAACTCACTACCTCACACTGTAAGCACACAACAAATATTAACCAATGTTGTTATTATTCTTAACTATTATTAATCTGCTCAAGATTACACATTTATTAATTGGTAGGGCCAGGATTCAAACCGAGGCTGTCTAACCCCAGGACCCTAAATTTTTAATACCCTTCTATTCTGACTCTCATGAAGTACCCCACAGTGGCCATCCCCACCCCAAGGATAAAGTCCAGACTCCCTAACATAACCCTGTAGGCCCTTCAGGGTCAGTCTCTCCCCTTCTGCTCCACGTACCACCAGCCACACCTCCCACAACAGTCTCCTGGTCTCTCTGCTCTGGCCACTACATCCCTCTCTCAATACCTACAAGAGCTGCCTCCTTTGCTCTTACAAATAACCTTCTTCCTACTACTCTCAGCCTGACCCATCCCCCTCCTTCTTCCAGTCTTAGCCTAGAACCTCTTCCTCAGGGAAGCCCATCATGATGCCAGCCTAGACTGGTTCTCCTTTTTAGGTGCCTATATAGCTTCCCCCCTCCCACCCGACCCTGATCCTTGTGGCCACATAACCCAGTTGTCAGTTCTCTTCCATGGTCTGTCTTCCCACCAGACTGTGAACTCTGTGGACTGGGGCTGTCAGCATGGCTTACTATTGTACCCTCTTGGCCCTCCACTGGGGTCTGACCACCTGGGAAATGGAGGGAGGGAGTACGGGGGCTGAGTGTGTGGGGGACTGGGCTGCCTGGACACAGGAACAGCAGATCCTGACCTGTTGGAGAGGTAGACTTCTAGTATGTGTCCACCCAACTCCTCTACTTCATATGCTTCCCCTTCCCCAAACACTTTCTGATGCTAGCAGCAAGTGGGATTCTGCTCCCTGGGGATGGGGCAGGCTGGGGGTCCCCTGGGATTCTGGAACTGAGTGGGTGGCCTGGATTCAGAATAAGCTGACTGTCCCATGCAGTTTTCGTTCTCTGGCTGGGGCTGTGCTGCCATCTACTCCCTAGTCCTAAAGGAACCAGGATGTGTAACTGTCCATACTCTCCCCAAATGACCATCAG